GCTCTATTATGCAGATAACTTCCTTAAGTGAAGGGCAATCTCTGTTAAAAACTCTCTTCCTATTACAGGCCCTCCTTTCCAATGTAAATTAAGCAGTTGTGAGAAAGGCAGAGAGCTTTTCCTACAACTGCTGGGGTTTTTTTTGTTTTTGTTTTTTTGTTGTTTTTTGTTGTCGTTGTTTTCAAAAGGGCCATAACCTGAGCCTAAGGCAGTTGCTCAACCAACTGAGGCAGCCAGGGTTTTGATTACTTTTTTTTTTTTTTAAGTAGGCTCCACACCCAGTGCAGAGCCCAAATGCCTCACGACCCGAGATCAAGACCTGAGCTGAGATCAGGAGTCAGACGCCTGACTGAGCCACCCAGGCGCCCCCTGATAACTTGTAAGCCTAAAAAATCTTTATGCTAAAGTGGCCCATCTTGGGGCAGGCCGCCCTTGGCTCCTATAGAATCTACCCAAGCAAAACAAAAACATATGTCTACACAAAGATTTGGAAGCAAATGTGCCTACTACCATTATTTATAATAGCCAAGAACTGGAAACAATTCAAAATCTATCAATTAATGATGGATAAATAAACTGTATCCATACAAGGGAATATTATTCAGCAATAAAATGGAATAAAATACTGATATATACAAATAATATGAATAACCTCAAGAACATTATGCTAAGTGATAGAAACAAGACACAAGAGCTACATATTATATGATTCCATTGATACGAAATATCCAGAAAAGGCAAAAGTATAGAGACATAATGTAGGTTAGTGGTTGCCAGGGGCTGGGGATGGGAGTGGGTCTTGGCTATAAAAGTGTCCAAAGGAACATTTTGAGGCAATGGGAATGGGGCAAGATAATAATGGTTGTACAATCTATAAATTTACTAAAAGTCATTAATTATGCACTTATAATGGGTATATTTTATAATATGTAAATTACATCTCAATAAAGCCACTTAACAAACAGGACTATGGGCTATTCCTTCTCACAGTCCTGGAGTTCCTGACCACATGGTGATAACCAGAAGTATCCAGCCCACTAAGAGATGACAGGAACGCATAAAACACTGGTGAGGAGTACAGCTCTGGGAGATACACAGATGCTTCCGACCCTCTGCAAACTTTCATCTTGCAAGGGCCCAGACATCAAAATGGTGTGTGCCAGGCTCCCCCATGTCCTATTTCCTCACACTCAGTTTTCTTTACCCATTAACAGTACTCATTTCATTTTTTTTTAAAGATTTTATTTATTTAATTGACAGAGAGAGAGAGAGACAGCGAGAGAGGGAACACAAGCAGGGGAAGTGTGAGAGGGAGAAGCAGGCTTCCTGCTGAGCAGGGAGCCCGATGTGGGACTCGATCCCAGGACTCTGGGATCATGACCTGAGCCGAAGGCAGTCGCTTAGCCAACTGAGCCACCCAGGCGCCCCTACTCATTTCATTCTTATACAAACAAAAGTGGGTGATATATTACTAGGATCTGGCCTTCAGGGTGCTTCCTTTCAACATTGCTGAGGTGGGAAAGACACTCCCTGAAACACAGACCATCATCTTGCTTCTTCCAGACCCACCACTACCTTTTCTAGGTGACCTCTGGGTCCGAAGCTTCAGAAACACACAGGCTTCATTCTTTGCCAGGGAACACGGGGTACAAATGTACATTGAGTCACATCTGGACAGAGATGCACCATGCCTTGCTGCTGTGCCCTCTGTGAGGTGCTATAGGGACCCTGATGACCAATCTAAGAACACCTCTGTCATGTTCTCAACGCACTCCTGCTAAACAGGACTCTAACAGCAAAGGTGAATTAACTGGTGATATATTCATTATCAAATGGTCCAGAGCAGTCTGAGGTCATGGTACCAGAGCGGGGTGATGACAGGAATGCATAAAAACTGTTAGGAGTGCCTGAAGAAGCTTAATGAAGGCATCATGGATGTCAAAAGCAGATTTCACAAGGCCCGTAAACAATGGGAAACTTACCCAGAAGCCCTCCAAAAACCATTCCATCAGGCCCCTTGCTTAGAACAGGAGTCATGTCCATGTCAAACTCAGTCATGGGTGAGCACCATGATACCACTTCAATGGATGCAGGGCCACCACCATCCCTCCAGGGGAAGGCAAGCGGAGAACAGGGACTGCTTATGCTGAGCAAGAGGAGGTGACCATCAAACACAGAAGGGCTTTTTCCACAGCACCCAGCAGTGCAACAAGTGGTCACAAAGTACAATGTGGCCCCTACAGGCTTCCCCACACACAGGGCAGTCATGGAGTGAGTGTCTCCCCAGGTGAGGTTCTTCTATATGAGGTACAACTTGTGACTGAAGGCTACTCGTGTAGGGTCTTTCTCAGTTATTCTTTTATATTGAATGAAGTTTTTTAAATAGGTTATTTAAAATAAAATGTTAAAAAAAAAAAGAGCAGCTGAAGACTTTACCACATTCATTGCTTTCAAATGGATTTTTTCTAGTGAAGTTGTTGGTATTGGCAGGGCAGGAGCTGAGGGCAACTGCTCTGCCATGCTGGCTGTACACACAGGAGCTTTCTCCAGTTTTAATATTTCTATGCAGAACATGGCAGGATCTGCAGCTTTTTAATCTCCTACTCACTATACTCACAATGCAGTAACTTGCTGCAAAATTGGATTAAATCTGTGACAGAAGGCTTTCCAAACATCAGCTGTACTCATTATGCCTTTCTCTCTGCTGGAGATTGTGTGAAACAGGTTTAATATTTTCTTGAAAGTTACTGCATTTGGGGCGCCTGGGTGGCTCAGTTGGTTAAGCGACTGCCTTCGGCTCAGGTCATGATCCTGGAGTCCCAGGATCGAGTCCCGCATCGGGCTCCCTGCTCAGCAGGGAGTCTGCTTCTCCCTCTGACTCTCTTCCCTCTCGTGCTCTCTCTCTATCTCATTCTCTCTCTCAAATAAATAAATAAAATCTATAAAAAAAATTAAAAAAAAAAAAGAAAGTTACTGCATTTGTACAACTGTTCTCGGATGTGAATCTTTTGGCGCTAACAAGAATGGAGCTCTGGAGCAGATGCCCACATTCTCTGCACTTGAGTCCTTTAGTGCAGAGGGAAGCGAAATTTTGCTCAAGGCTGGGCCATACTCCCTGCCTTTATAAAGGCTTCCTCAAGGAGAACATTCCGGTGCTCAAAAGGAATAGAGCTCTGGCTGGAGGCTTTCTCGTGTTACTACACTCACAATATTTGAAGATATGAATGTCCTCCTGCTTTCTCAGGATGAAGGCAAAGGTGATGACCTCCCCACCTTCCCAATGTACTTGGGATTTTTTTCCCATTCTGAAATGTTTTTGGTGATTGAACACCTCTCCAGATAACATGTGTTTACTGGGTGTCTCTTCAATGTCAGTTCTCTGTGGCTTCTGCAAAATGTTGAGTTGGCAGGGCCTGGTGATAGGCAAGAGCTGTGCAGTGAGGGTGGTCCAGCCAGTGACACTGTGTCCACTTTCCTTTGAGGGAACAAGCAGTCTCATGGAGGAACAAATTTTCAAGAACTACTTAAAGATATGTATCAGCTCAGGACATGTTAAGGGGAGGCTACTGGTGAGGGACCTGGCCAGAAGAGGGGAGAAAGAGAAAGGCTATACGGCAAAGGACACAGAGGGATCAGCCAGGGGACAAGAGTCAAGGGAAAGTAGAATGGAGTGGCAGAAAGGGGCCAGAATGATAGAAAAGAGGCATGGCTACTCACTTTGGCCCCAGGGGAACAGAGGGCATAGGTCAGGCACCCCACGAGAGATCAGCCCTACAGGCCCTCCCATACCAGTTTTGCACTGACCAGGGCTGGTCCTCCAGGGGCCTCTCTGGTCAAGCTACGATTCAAGCTGCCCTGTTCAGGTCTCCTTGCCAAGTTCAACTTGGGTGACCACACTTAGGGTAGTACAGACAGTCATTCTTATGGGGGATCAAGTGGTTTGTGACAGAGCAAGGTGGGTGAGGATCACCAATGCGTCTGGAGAACTGAAGCTCACAAAATGAAGAACCAGGAAAGATCTCGGCAGAAGAGCTCATTGTCCCCACAATCAATGACCAATGACCATGTTGGTGCTCATGTGCCATCACAGGGGCTGACAAGAAAACCTGCTGGAGGGGTTTTTTCCTGACAGAAAAGCAACAGGTCCTGATGGGGTTTCCCGGCCAGAAAATAACCTAGCTGGTGTGATCTCCTATGCGGGTTGTGGTATTTTTGACCCTTCACCATGATAAAAAGGTCCCAAGGCAAAAGGGAGTTGGGGTTGCTAATGCAGCAGTCTGGGAGAAGAGGTGTCAAATCTGGGCCAGCACCAGGACCAGCAGCAAATCCCACGGGGAACACACTGGCCTAAGCCGGTGAGGACAGGACCATGCCTGCAGCTCCACCGTGCCTTATGAAGGGGCCCCGCTTTTTCTAAAAGACATAGGTACCCTTCTCCTTAAAGGTCAATGGGCTCTGCAATACCAGGCCAGGGAGCAGACGGCTGTGATCTAAGCACTGGGCACGGGACCTGGGGCCCCCGTCCGTCCTGCCAGCCGCCTCCCCTTCTGTCTCCCAAACCCTGCCCCCTGACATGCCTGCTCGCCCTCGGAGGGCGGGCCCTCCCCCTGGATGTGCACTCTCCCCTTTGGAAAGTGCTTCTCTTTTTCCGCACCAGGCTCCTCCACCTAGCCACTGGGCCTCTGTCTGGACGCCCCACATTCACTTCAGGGCCCTCCATCTGTAACCGCAATTTAAGACTCTCCTTCCAAAATGCCCTTCTCAGGCCCTTCCTTGGACTGCAGCCTGGACATCCGAAGCCAAACCAGGACTCCCTGTGTGTTCACAGGTACATGTGTCACCCCCACTCAGAGGTCTCCAGACAGTTCGGACCCTACATCTACAAAACCTAACTGCGAATCTTCCCCAAAACACCCTTCTCCTGCCAACCTCGCATCTCGATGGGCAGCAGTCCCCGAGCCCTCCTCAGCCCTTGGGATGACCCTCGAGGCACCACTTACAGTCACTCCTCCCATGTAGCACGAAGTCCATCAGCTCCACCTTGAAAAGCGAACCGAAATCCGATCACTTCTCTCACGTCTTCTACGTGTGCTCCGGGCCGGCCGCCGCCGCAACTGTCCCGATGAACACCGCAGCGGGATCCTCATGAGCCTCCCTGTTTTCAGCCCGGCCACAGCCGCTCTCCCACCAGCGTGTTCAGTCTGTTTACCGGGTATTCACTGGGATACTTTCAAAACCCTAAATCGGATCGTGGACATCCCTCTTCTACCAAAAACTATGACTGCCAGGACCCGGGAGCAGAGGCGGGACTCCTCTCACGCTCTTGGTTCCCTGCGGTGGAAGACAAGAAACGTCCCGAGCGTTCTCCGGTCAGTGTCACCCCCGAGCCTTCGCACACGCAGCTCCCTCTGCCTGCACCGTCTCCATCTTAACGCACTGGGCTCCGGAAGGGAGACTCGGCGCCTGCCAACGCTCGGCGCTCCTGAACGTCGAGGCCTGCAGCTCCGCCGGGGACTCGGGACGCCGGGCCTCAGAGTCCAGTCGGGGGGCCCCGACACGACTCTTCTGCCGTGACTGGTCGGTCCGCTCGCTCATCACGCCCACAGGCCCGGGGAGCCTCCCGGGCACAGTCCACAGGCCGGCAGCCAGGGCCCCGGCCGATCGGGACAAAACGGCCAACGGCCAAAGAAAAGGCCGGATACCGGAAGTGGCGACCGAAAGACCGCGGCCGTCCCGGAAACGCCCCTCCCCTAGCGCATCATTGGCCAGAGTCCAGCCGGC